TGTGCAGAGCCGCGAACTGTCTTTGGAGAATTCAACAAAGGCAGAGCAGCCGGCAACAACTTGAAAAGAACTTGCAGGAAAACCCACACCCACGCTGCCGGGTTTTGAACTGGAGAGCCGCGTCTGTGTGTGTGTGTGTGAGTGAGTATGTGTGTGTGAGTGTGTGTGTGTGAGTGTGTGTGTGTGTGAGAAGCAAGAGGCTGAGGAGGTGCAAACAACTCTTTGGAGAATTCAACAAAGGCAGAGCAGCCGGCAACAACTTGAAAAGAACTTGCAGGAAAACCCACACCCACGCTGCCGGGTTTTGAACTGGAGAGCCGCGTCTGTGTGTGTGTGTGTGAGTGAGTATGTGTGTGTGAGTGTGTGTGTGTGAGTGTGTGTGTGTGTGAGAAGCAAGAGGCTGAGGAGGTGCAAACAACTCCACGTCTGTGCTTCGATAAGGAGACCACCGGCTGTGAACCAGCCTCTCCTGAATTCGGACCGCATTGTTTTCTGTCCAGATATTCCAGTGGAGGCAGTTGGAAAACCTGTATTTCAGAGAAAAGAAGTTTTCCGTGGAAGTTCACGACCCACGCAGGTAAGCTGGGAAACTCCTCTTCTTCTGGGAGCGCGTGGCCCGCCCGGCGTATTATTTATATTCCTACCTTTGTGCAGTCATTGTTGCTGTCCACGTCGGCGGGGGCAGGGTGGGTGATCGGGGAGGACAGGGTTCAGGTCAGACAGCGAAGCTTTGCTTTGTGCCGTGCGTGTGGGTAGATGCCGTGGGTTCAAGTGAGTGTGTGACGTTAGTGACACCGCGATCATCTCATCTGCCTACACGTGTTACTCGCTCACGTCTGTGGAGTTGCCTTGACAAGCCACGGCGTTTTAGAGAAGGTCTGTAGCTCTTTTTATAACCGGACGCCGGGCTGAGTCCTTTTTAGAAGTTTTCGCCCCAGGAGAGTCTGAAGGATGGCTCATCAGAGCTTCTGAGAATGTGTCACGTAGGACAGTTCGTAGCCAAAGTGACCTACCCGCAAAGCAGTTGTGCTCATGGCTGGATTCTGTGAGCCGCCTGTTAGGTGTGAGCCTTGGGGGTGGGTGTGAAAGAAACATGTTTCTTTCTCTCCCCACCTCACGTTGTTTCCCAGGCAGCACTGTGGAAAAACCAATGCTCCAAGTCAGATGCCAAACAATAGGGTCCCGGTTTGCAGTGCAGCAAGCCCGGCTTGGAAGCCAGCACCTCTGCTTTTCCTCTCTTTGTCTGCTAGCAGTCCCGGAGTCTAGGCCACCCAGAAACAGCAGATTCCCTAAAAGCAGGCCTGACACCCAGGAGGCCATTGTTTTTTGGTAAGTCCAAACTCAGATGTACAACACGAAGGCCGTCCTGGGCAGATGAGAAAGGTCAGCATCTGCGGAGGAGAGCAAATGTGGGTGTCAGGCTCCATGACGCCCCAGCGCTGGCCTGGGAGCCAGGGGTCAGCCCCAGCTTCCCCGGCACACGGGGCCGAGGCTCCCAGAGAGCTAGGACATGGGGCGGAGACGAGGGCCGGCGGGCGGAGGCTTGTGTGCAGTGTGGCCCTGCAGCTGGTGACACACAGCGAGACTGCCACGCGCCCGCCCTGCCGTGTCATCTGCGTGGAACAGCCCCCCACCGTCACTGCAGGACGACCGCATGGTGGGCACGGCAGGTTCGCGTCCTCGCAGTCAAGGGAAGACGGAGGACTGGTCCAGCGTGTCTCTGCGCCCTGCAGGGGCCACACGGTCCAGGGACTGCCTCGTGCGGGTCATGTCGGGGAGGACACTGAAAATAACAGTCCAGCCAGCCAGGAACACACTGTACCAGACCGGCGTCTGAGGAGTGCGGGAGGAGGGGCACTTCCGTAAAAAAAGCGAAATAAATGTGGCCCCAGGGGGTCAGATGCAGGAAGTGGGTGCTGGACAGGATGAAAATGACGTAGGAGAGTCTGAGGGGCTGAGCCGGGGGCCGGGCAGTCTCTCGGTGCCTGTGTTCTGTTGAGAAGTCTGCTAGCTCATACCTCGGGCACCTTGGACAAACCCCTGCTTGGTGCATGTGTGTGCGCGTGTGTGTCCTCTGTGGTCTCATCCGTGATATAACACTAAATTCCCTATCCTTCCCTAAGGCCTGGGGATAGAGGAAAAGTCCAAACCTCACACGTCACCATTACATGGGTATTTCGCCTATTAAACGACCGTGATCGATCTCATTCATTGAGTAGCTTCTGCGTTTGGGCACATAGTCAGGGTTCACTGCCTTTAAAGAACTTCTGGCACATTTAGGGGGACAGGCGGAAGAAGAAACGTGATATTTATTGAGTGTTCGCCACAGCTTGGCACTGTTCTCAGCACCTGTTCACATGATCTCACTGGGTCCTCCCCGTAACCCCAGGAAATAGCACCCTTAGTGATTCTATAGGCAACTGAGGCACGGAGGAAAGAAGTGACCGTATCTAGGTTACAAACAGCTAGTAAGTGGTAGAGGCAGGACTCGAACCCAGGGAGCCTGACTCTAAAACTCACGTGTCACACGGCTGCACCCTACCCAGGACAGCAGGCACCAAGCGCCGAAAGGCACAGGCCATAAATGCTGAAGGTCACCAGAAGCCAGGCTGGTCAGGAGAGGCTTCTTGAAAAGGAGAGAGATCTGAGCTGAACCTCCAGGGGCCACCAAGATTTAAAAAGCTCATGGTGGCCCTCGGCGACAAAGACGTTGGTCAGGTCAGAAAATGAGGAGCCCGAGGCAGCCTGAGCACAGACCAGGACCAGGTCCCCTGGAGGAAAACAGCCCGTTAGGCTAGAGGCAGGCAGGGAGGGGCAGGGGAAGGAGAGGCCGGGGAGGTGTCGTGTGCTCCCCGCCGCCACCGTGACAACCCAAGTCTGCTGCAGCTTTAAAGACACCTTTCCCAAATACACGGCAGTAGGCAAAGAGAATCGATTCCTCTTAGGGGCAGAGCCAAAGCTACAAGCCCCATCTCTGCCTCTCATGGCCGTTAAGTGTTCTCTGTGGCCTCACGGCACTCCTTAAGTCCAGTGGGGAGACCTATTGCCGTGGCCTTGTGTATTTGGATCAGGGAAGAAGAATCTAAGTGACCGGACATCGGGATGGTCCAGAGGTCAGCCCCTCCCCCACACCAGGGAGGGAGTCCGAACAGGAGTGACAGGAGGGCAAGTGTGGGAGCGAATCGGGTCGCGAAGATGCCATGTGTGGGACAGGGCAGGGACAGGGGCGTCCCTCGGGGCAGAGGGCGCATCCCAAAGCAGTGGGCACGGGGAGGACCGGTTCTCCTGCACCTGCGCCCTAACCGGACGCCCAGCACGGTTATCTGCGGTCCCCAGGTCTGGAACACGGTTTCTGAGGTTTAGGCAAAACAGAAAAGTGGGAAGAGCCTGAAGAGAAAGATGTGGAGAAGAGATCGATTACTCATGGGGCAGGGGGAAAACTCTCAGAGGGTCCGATTCAGGCGCCCCTGTGGGCCACCTGGAACCATCCAGACCTGAAAGCCTCTTAACTCTTCCTCCGTCACCACCTGGGAAGTAGAAGCACCTAGCCTGCTGCAGCTCTCCCTGCTGTCCCGAAGATACATTCCAAGTTACTTTTCCTTTCTAATTCAGCTTTTCTGGGAGGAAAAAAAATAGGCATGTACTCCCAGGAGCAGCCATTGTCACGGAAGCCAAAGTGAGGGTTCAGGTCACGGTTTCTTTTTAAATCTACAGATAAGCTGTGGGGGTTTCTTCCTCACTCTCGCCGGCTCCTTTTCCAACTGTGTGCTGGCATTTTTTTCTTCTGTTTTAACCAAGGAGTGGAAGACCCCTCCTGGAATCAGCATCACCAACCACCAGATTCGAATTTCTTCTCAGAAGTGGGTCTGAAGAAGACCACCGTTAAATCTTTAGGCCCCAAGGGAAGGTGACGGGAGCAGCTTCAAATTTTTGTCAAGGGCAAATGTGCCAAAAAAATACATATAATTATTCAGAAGTCATGGCTACCCCATTTCTTCCAAATTAGGTATCTTAATCTTGAGAACACACATTTTCTTCTGGCATACACGTTAGATGCCCCAGACCCCGTCCACTGACCCAGCACCTTGCCCTTCACACACAACACACACACACACACACACACGTGCATGCAAACACATGTCCTCAGATCTCACTCGCTTAATAACCTGCTTGTCTTATAAAACATACTTCAATGAGAACATTATCATATAGCTCTTTTTTCCCCAATGCCGTGGATGTGGTGAATTGTGTTGGGACCTGTGTTCCAACTTTCATTTTTTTTAAGTCCGCTATGCGTTCGGTATCCCCTCCGTGAAGGTGTATGTGGAGTTGGGGTGAATGGGGAGGGGTTGACTAGGCTCATTTCTTTCTGCCTTCCCTCTCGCGATTCTTTATACTCTCTCCACCCTCTGAGTGTATTGAAATTGACAACCAGCTCTTTCAAGGAACATTTAGAGTAACATAAATCTGGATTCCCTCACAATTTCCCAGAGGCGGTGGCCTGGGGCCATCCGCCGATAATCTGCTCCTCCTTCACAGCAGGCAGCATTGCCTACTTACAGGACATTGTCAAAGGCTTTTCCTGTCTCTGAAGTTTGTCTTGGCCCAATGCCAAGAGCTATGACCTAGAACGACCCATCTTCAGACAAGGCTGAGGCTTGGTCCAATTCTGAATCCCAAGGAGCCAGTAAATCAAATGATTAACATTATCCACAGGAGCCAAAACATGGAAACAACTTAAGTGTCTGTTGACAGATGAATGAATGAAGAAATTGTGACTTTTTTATGCAGCGGAATATTATTCAGCCTCAAAAAAGGAGGAGGTCCTGCCATGTGCAACAACATGTATGAAACGGGAGGACGTTATCCTAAGTGAAATCAGCCAGACACAGAAGGAAGGAGCCGCATGATGTCACAAGTAGAATCTAACGAAGTTGAACACATAGAGGGAGGAGGAGGCGGGGAAACGGGACGATGTCAGTCAAAGGGTGCTGAGTGGCAGATACAGGATGAGTAAGGCCGGAGATCTGACGGACAGCGTGGGGACGACAGTTAATTATGCCGGATCGTATCCTGGAAATGTGCTGAGAGAGTAGGTTTCAGGTATTCACATCACACACACACACACAAAAAAGTAGTCAGCATGTGAAGAGATGATATACTGGTTAGCTTGACTGCAATCCTTTCATTATGTACAAGTATATCAAGTCATCTTGTATACCTTAAATACAATTTTTATTTAAAAAGTCATGTAAAATGTCCTTTGGTAGCCAGTTTACCTGTGAGAGACAGAAAGAGAGAGTGTGTGTGCATGTCCGTGTGCTCATCTGCCACCTCCACGTCAGGGCATTTAGGAGCCAGCGGGTTCTCAGTAAAAGCCGATCCCTGGAGTTCATCACAGACACGGCTGACCCTTCTGAGTCTTGCCTTCCAGGGCGTCTGTGACGAGGAGGACTTTTGGACACAGTGGCATCGCGGTGCATACGTGGTACGCGTGCCCAGCGTTGATCAAATCCATCTGGGCTATGGCCATTAGCCAGCACCAGTTCTACCTGGACAGGAAGCAGAGCAAGGTAGGTCTCTGTCTTGGGGCTGGGAGGGGCTCTGCCGTGACCACACCTTGCACCAAGCTGAGGGCAGACGCGGGCCCTTGTCCGGATATTGTCCTCTTTGTCTAGGGACTGAGGATTGGGTGGGCAGGGAGGCACTGTGTCCCTTGTCCTGAGGTGTGCACAGGCACACACCTGCCTTCAGAGCTATAGGAGGAATGAGACCAGTTCTTTCAGAGGGCACGTTCCTTGCAGCTGGTCAAGGCGCTCTGGCCTGACCACAGCTGGAGCCACTCAGGCCATCGACTCCAGCCAGGTAGGAATTCCTGAGGAATTCCGACCGTGGTTTTGACCCTTGAGAACCTCTTAGGAGCAAGCAGGCAGGCCCTTCCTGGTGTTCAAACAGTGGCATATTGTTTTCTGTTTGGAGGAGAAGAAAAAAAAAGTAACCACCGTTCTCAACTAATAGATACCTCCTAGCTGTTGAGGATAATTGCTGTGAAAACCCTCCAGGCTTTTCCAGCTGCCAGCTTCGTTTTTTTAAAAATGCAAAACTGGAAACATGGGAAAAAATAAAAATAAAAGGCAACAACCCCATTTCCCTCAGGTAGACCTGGAGCCTGGGGCCTAGGTAAACAGCCATCCTTCGAGGGGGGTTGGACCCAGCCCCACTCCAGACGCACCCTGTGCACTTTCTGTGAGTGGAATGACGGCTCCCTGGTTCACACACCGCTTGTGTCAACACACGGCCCCCTCTTCCTCCAGCTTTGTCTGCCATGCTCCCCTTGCCTTCCCCCCAAAAGCCACTCCCGTTCATTACCCCTCAGGCCAAGAGCCTATCAAGATGGGCTCTGCACCCTTCTCCCGATCCTGCTGCCTTGGGGCGGGGCTGGGGGTGGAACACAGAGCTAGAGAGGAGACCGCCCCTGGCCTCCTGGGTACCTACTGGGTACAGCCACCGTGGGAAGTGCGTCCCATTGTGTGAGTGCTTGGGAGGGGGGAGGTGGCAGGATCCTGGCTGCCCGGGCCCCAGGTTTGCTGGGTCGGTGCCTCTCAGATCCTTTCGGCGTCCCCTTTGGCCTTATTTTCAGTCTGGGTGGAGTGTCTCTTTCTGGGGCTTGGGGACAGGCACGGAGGGAGAGGGCGAGGTGGGGGGCGGGGCGGCGTCCAATGGGAGGTCAGAGAGGGAGGAAGAAAGGAAGCGCAGCCTCGAGGTGTGATGCGGCTTCGAGTCAGTGCTTCGCAGTCACTTTCTCTGTCATAAGAGGGAGGAAGAAAGGAAGCGCGGCCTCGAGGTGTGATGCGGCTTCGAGTCAGGGCCTTCGGCTTCGCAGTCACTTTCTCTGTCACACGTGTCCTCCTCGGCCTCCGTCCTCGCCCCTGCGTGGTCACTTGCCGGGGTGCGTGGGCCCAGGGCGGAGCGTTGCTTTTGTTAGGAACCGTGAGAGTATTCCGCAGCTCTGCCGGTGCTGATGGGCACTGGCACGGGAGCCTGAGGCCCAATTAGATCAAAGAATCGGGGCCAGAGTGTTTTGACTCATGCTTTAGTTTGAGACAGCGGGTGGGTGTCGGCATTTTGCCCTCCTGTGGCAAGAGCTGGGGTCAGGACCTTAGAACGCTTGATTCCAAATTCTGTTGTTCAGTATTGGGCAAGGGTGGTGAGTTTGGCAGGCCTCCTGGACCCCACTGCCAAATCCTCTTGCAGGCAGACCCCCTGTGCACTGATCCCACAGCTTAGAACGTGGAACAGGACAAGCTTATCTCACCCTAATGATTGATAGTACATTAGCTGTTTGAGCCCCTTCCCCCGTGCTGCGTTTTTTGGAGTGTTTTTTGTTTTGTTTTGCATTTTTTTTTTGCTCAAAGTCTCAGGTATGTCTCAGGAGGCCTGTTGGGGTCTAGAGCCCCAGGCTCTTACTCCACAGGCGGAGAAGCCTCGTTTCAGCCCACTGAGGCAGCAAGTAAACCTCAAAAAGTAATGGTCACAGAACACTTCTTGACAAGGTGTGTCTTTCAAGAAGCCAAACCGAATGCCCGTAGCCATAGGGAGGTTTCAGCCGTCCCCCTGGCAGCCCCTGGGGGCCGAAGGAAATGTGCCCGCTCCCGATGGAGAACTTTCCCGGTCCAATTCGAAGACTCACGGAGATGCCTCGGAGACCTTGAGGTTCTCGTGGAACCAGTTCCTCAGCCTGGGGACAGGCGAGGGACAGGTCGTCCCCGGGGGAAGTCCGAGGGCTTGTCTTCCTGGGACGGAGCAGCTTTCATCACTCTTGCTTTGTTTTCCCCAGTTAGGGAACAGGGAGGGAAATTCCTGGCGGAAATTATCGGTTGGTCCAAAGACGCAGTGTTAGTGAAGTTGCTTTCGGAGATAATGTGCAGTCTTTTATTATCATGAATCTAACACTCCTTCCCCTGGCCGACACTTAGTGTAAATTCTCTAAAAGGCCCCCAAGTTAAGTCCGGTGATAAAATGTCTCTTAGCAGCTGCAACACCTCTTGTTTCCGGAATATCATTCTTTATGCAACAGGGAGGTGATCCCTCTGGGTGGGCAGAGTGGCCTCTGGTGAGTGGTGGCTGGCAGGCCTGGGATGAAGAGCTTCCAGAAATTTCTGAGCAGCCAGTGTTGGCTGGCACCCTGTCCGTTGCTTCACACTCTACTATACAGGGCCATGCCAACCATTCCTTTCTGTGAAGGGCCTCAGGAAAGCCGGGCCTCCCAGGCGATGCCTATCAACCCCAGAAACAAGTGCGGTCTAGTGGCTGAGTCAGCAGGGGTGGGTGGCCAAGGAGGCTCCTGTTCTTGCCCTGGCACTCAGTTGTTTTCTTCTCTCAGGGTCATTATGTAAATCGTTTAAGAAAACCAATCCCTTCCTCTCTCCCTCCCCCACATGGTGTGTGCGTGTGCCTCTGTCTCTCTCTCACACACACACACACATATGCACACACCTTCCACCCCCAATCACCAAAGACCGTGGAGAGGGGACCCATGGCATGGTTTCTTGGGGCTCATCCTGAATGACAGGCTGTGCAGGCACCAGTTATGGTCAGTAACACATATGTGCTTGACCCCAAGAGATCAGAGAAGTCAGCTGGATCCCGGCAACCTCCTCCGCCCAGAGCCAAGGAATGTCTTTAGACTTCGGAAAGAGGCACCCGAAAGCTCAGATTGTTTAGAGTCCACGTTAGACACTTTTCCTCTGAACTCAGAGTGGCGACACCTAGACTTGGCTCTTCCGGTCCAAACGTCTCTCCTGCCCCATCTACCCCTCCCCCAACCTACCCCTGGATCAAGTTCCCTCGTCTTCATTCCACCTACATCAAAGGCAGAGTGAACGTATGGGAGGGCGACAGTTAACCCTTGCTTACAGAATATCAGTGAGAACATTTCGTTTGGCAAGACCCCCCGCCCCCTGCCACCACACACACACAGCAGACCGGTCCGAAGACGACCTTGCAAGGAGACAGTCGGCCTATCAGCTCCTGTGTCCCCTTGTCACCCTCTGTCCACGGGGTCCATTCAGTCAGTGTGGTAGTTCCATTCTAGAGAGAAGCCCGCCATTCCTAAAGCTGCTAAGGGTCCAGTCCCCCTCGGGAAGGGTCTGTGCCGGTCCGTTGTCCGCATTCTGTTTTCTGCATGAGATGGGGGTGTGGGAGATGAAGTGGGCACCAGGCTTCCCCACAGTGTCAGACTGAGTCATCGGTGTAACGTCATGTGGCAGATGGCGGCCGGGCCCTGACCTACATCTGATTCGTGCTCCGATGGCCTCGACAGGTATCACCTAATTTAGTCCTTATCACAACTCTGTGATGTGGGTTTTCAGATCTCCGTTTTTACAAACAGGGATCTGAGGGTCAGAGGCTGAGGATCGAGGTCCAAGAGGGATTAATTGGGAAGAGCCAGGATTTCAGGCCAGATCTTTCTGACTGGGCAGCCCAGGCGGCCCCCGCCCCCCTCCACAGCCTGCTGAGGTGGTCCCCGTCTTCATGACTGCAGGCGTGGGCTCCTTCTCAGCGAAGCGTGGGCCATGGCCAAAGTCATGCTTTCCGTGCTTGCCTGGGGGAGACGGCGCAGCCAGGTGGGTGCTGTTGATAAGCTGTGTCTAACGACATGAAAAGGCTCTTCCCGCTTCTGCTGCCGCTCAGAGCCTGGCCAGGGCCTGGCAGCCGGGTTGTCTTATGAACGAGGAAGAAGCCCTAACGTGCAGAAGGTGGCCTGGTCCTGAATGCAGGGACGGAAGTCGAGGTCAGAAACGGAGATGTCAGCTGAGGAAGGGCCTGAGGGCTGGAGAGAGTGGGGAGGAAGGCGGCTCACGCCCGTGAGCAGGACAAGCGACAGGTCTCCCCGCTCTCCCCCTGTCACCCAGACTTTCTTCTTAGCATGGTGGGGAGGGCACCTGGGCGCAGGATGCAAATTCAGGAGGTGGGGCGTGGGTACGCCTTCCCTTCCGTGCCTCCGTGACCCACCCTCTGCCGGCTTCTGTGCGTGGGGAAGACTCGGTCTCACGGGCCAGGCGTGAACACACACAAGGTGGCTGCAACCCCACCTGCTGCCCTCCATGCGCGTGCTCTTGCCAACGGCCACCGAGAGATGAGCAGATGCATGGGAGATACATACCGGCACCAATAGCTCTTCTCATAAAGTCCCTGGTCCTGGGAAAGCCCGCGCGGCCTTAAGCACTGTCGCACAAACCGATTTCCTGAAGAAGGAAATAAGGCAAACGTCAAATTCAAGTGCAGGAAATGCTGACCCATTCGACTCACCACAGGTAGTAACTGCAGCAGGTGGTCTTACCCCACACAGTGGCTTTCAGGCGTTCTGGCCCACCCGCTGTCACTGTTAGCCAAATAGGGCTGATCGGCATGCGAAATAAAAACAGTGGAGTATTAACCAGAATCTGAATATGCGGGTGTGCACTAGAAGCGGAGCACCGTGTTTGGGTGCTCATGGGTGACACTCGAGTGTCCCGGGGAGCTTCTGCCGAGGAGTTTTACAGCCGCACACACTGTGCTCACAGGTACAGGATGCCGTCACTCCCTCATAAGCCTCTAAACTGGCCATGGCCACATGGCTAACAATTTAGGAGGTTTAGATGCCTCAGAATGTTTTGGAACTTCTTAAGTTTGTTTCAGATAGCTCTTACGTCTTTCACAAAGCTGAAAAAAATTTTTTCCTCCTTGATATACAGAATAGTTATCATCGTTACTGTTTATTGAGAGATGTGGACCAGGTAGAGAGGAGGGCAGGGAGGAATGTCTGTTTGACTCCAAAGTCCCCGCTCTTAAGCCTGTGGACTAATAGGCTTAGAAAACTCATCACCCATGACCGCTCTTGAGCCATACCTGCAGCTGCAGCAAGCTTCGGTGACTAGTGACAGGACCAAGGGGACACAAACAAAAACGCTGTGGGTCAGGAAATGCGTCGGTTTGCTAAATTTCAGGACTCCCAGCAGGCGAGTGATTCCTGTTGTCTCTCAGAGGCGAATGCCCCTTTGTGACCTGGCTGCCTTTCTCACTCTAGTCTAAAATCCATGCCGCACGAAGTCTGAGCGAGATCGCCATCGACCTGACCGAGACGGGGACCCTGAAGACCTCGAAGCTGGCCAACATGGGGAGCAAGGGGAAGATCATCAGCGGCAGCAGCGGGAGTCTCCTGTCGTCAGGTGTGCATGGCCTCGGGGTTGGGAGTGCCCTCCTGAGGATGTGGAAGACAGTCCTGTGGAAGGGTGGCCTTGACCCCGGGGTGGGCTCAGGGAGGGCGGGGGGCGCGCAGCAGCCGAGGGGGCCGCTTGGCGGCTCGCCAGGAGCTGGCTCTGGTTTTGAGACTGAGGGTTCCGACCAGATGGGAACCTGAGCAAAGTGTCAAGGGTGGGGGAAAGGAAGCAGGTGAACCACTGAGTGTGGGAGGGGTCGTTGGTCGTGTAAGCATCTCCAAGCACCTGACGGTCGGGTATGTCCCCTGCAGGGACGGCAGGTGGGGTTCACGCGTGTGTCGTTAGCGGAGAATCGTACTGAGCAAGGGCTGAAGGTCAGGGGTGTGGCACCGGCGACACTGCATTCCATTCCTCAGTGAACCTCTTGGGACTTGAAAAAGCCCGGCTGACTCCTGATGGTCGGCACAGCGGAGGCTCGCTGTCACAGGCGGCGGCCACCAGACACGCCAAGGGCTCCGATTCCTCCATCTCTTTCTGCGGGCCCTGGGCGAGTCATTTTGTCACGAGATGTTGGGAGGGACAGAAAGGCTCTGAGGCTTTCGTCGTGCTGACTTCGGGAGAAGGGACGCCGTTGCCTGAAGTGACGGGAAGAGGAGCAGGTGTGAGGAGGGCGGGGAGAGAGCGGGAGGCCGTAGGCGTTTGGAAACGTGAGCGAAAAGTATCGCCAACGCAGGTCGCTCCCCAGGCCACGTGGTCAAAGCCCGATTGTTCTTGGGGACAAGTGTACCCTGGCCTCCGAGCCGTGGAAATCCAGCAGGAAGTCTTTGCCCTGTGTCATCTGCCAGATTCATTTCTGTAAATGTGTCCGGTGGCTGCGCACAAGCTCAAAATGAAATAAGGAAGGAAAGCTGCCGGGGAGCAGGAGAAACGGAAAGCTGACCAGTGAGCTTCTGGGCCGGCGGAGTCCAGGCAGAGCCAGGGGAAAAGGCAGACCTAAGGAACGGGGGAGGACGTGCGCCCTCCCAGACTGGGGCCGATGGCACCCGGCTCGGGGCCCCTCGTTGGCCAGGCCCCAGCCATGTGTCCCGTGGCCACGTGTTCTTGACGCAATAGATTTTGCCCTCGTTTTCGTAAATAGAGCCACCAAAATTACAAAAGCTGCAGGCCCCACAAAACCTGGGTCTGCCTCTGCCGGGTCACCGTAGGGCTCCCGTAAACCCTTCCCTGCCTCCGATTCTTCAGAAAATGTTGCATTGATACAGTGTGCCCGACGATGATTATTTCTGCGGCCTGGGAGGTTTACAGGAAGACAGAGATGATGTCTTCTCTTATCGAAGAGAGTGCCATTCAAAGCCTAGGCCGCTGCCTTGCGGTGTAGCCGCTCCCAGCCCCTGCTGAATGGCGAAGGGCAGACCAGAGCCCACCCCTGTGTTCGTCCCCCGGACACCCCTCACCCCCACTAAGACCCAGCGTCTCAGACTCGCGCTCGGATGTGCCCACCCAGTGTGTTCACCCAGCTGCAGATGAGCCCGGCTCACCCCGCGGTCTCAGCAAGGGGTGCATTCCCGCTGCGGTGACACCCCCACCTGGACGTCTGCGTCCTTCCTGAACGTGGCGTGGTTGTTCCCAGTAGGAGAATGACCGTCCGGCTCAGGGGTCCCCAGCCCCCGTGGGCACCAGAACTGCTCAGAGGGCCCCTCAAGCGCAGACAGCTGGGCTGCGGCTCGGGAGCGTTTGAGTCTGTAGGTCCAGAGTGAGCCCAAGAACTTGCATTTCTAACAAGGACTCAGGCGATGCTGATCCTGCTGCTCTGGGGACCACACCCGGGAAGCCACTCTTCTTGCTAAGGAGGAGAGGAGAGCCTGAGGTGGCTGCATGGCTCTGGGTCACAGACAGGACCCAGGTATTCCCACATTTAAACCTGGACCCTGGACCGTCTGCTCGGGCCCCTTGGCTCTGCAGTCTCCAGGGGTCCAAGGCAGTAGCCCAACTGCAGGTACAGATGAGGGTGTGAACAGGAGCCCCAGACCTCCTGACATGGAACTGACATCGCTCAACCATCAGAAATGAGATCCAGGCATCGTAAGACTAGAAGGCAGTTCCTCTCTGTCCTAACCCCATCTTCCACAGTGGCTGCACCAGTTTACATTCCCACCAGCAGTGCATGACACCCAGTAGGTGCTCAGTACACAATTAAAAAACCCTAACCCCTAACCCTATCTTCCAGCCACCAGACGGATGGTTAACGTCCAGCCGATGGTTAACGTCCATCGGCTGGACATTAACCATCCGTCTGGTGGCTGGAAGATAAAAGAAAACCTCTCTGCTGAATTCACTTCCACACCTAATAGAAGCATCCTTATCCCAACACGATAAAGCGATGCTCACGTGTTTGATAACGTAGTGATGGGGCCCCAAGCTAAGCTGTTTGGGGGTTGACAGAGTCAGCTAAGGCCCCCTGCCCTCCCCACTTTCAGTGGCTTGGGGGCGTTCGTGGACACTGACCCCCTCAGCCCTTTCCCTGCCTGAGACGGCCGCACCGCTGAGCAGGAGGAAAGCTGCCCCGAGGAGAGGGCTGGGAGGTGTGCGCTACGCCCCGTGACCAGGCCAGGCAGCAGTCCAGCCTGCCCAGCTCCACAGGCAGAGCCTGAAGAATGGCCCTTGCATGCGATGCTGAGGCTCTGTGGGGAGGCCCCCCTCCCCGGCTTAGGAGAGACGATGGGGCAGTGGAGGGAGAGCCCATGAAAACACAGAATGCCCATCAGTCACCAAGGGTCTTTCTAGGACCCGTAGATCTGGTCACCGCTCCTTCTGGGGCTGCTGGTTGCTGCCCCGCAGTCTTTTGCTGGGAGGAGACGCCTTCACTGAGGCAGGCCCTTGGTGCAGACATCTAGGCAAGGCCCCCGCCCCGTGCTTGCTTTCCGTCCTTCGCGTCCTCTTGCCCAACTGCTTGCTGAGAACGCTTTGAGTCACGTACTCCCACAGACTGCCAGGGCAACGCTCCTCCAGGGCAGCCCTGACTTAAACACTGTTACACTTGCCAGACCCTACGTTCTATTGTTCAGAAAACATGATACATATAACCCAGTGTCCTGTTCGATCGGTTGTCTTCTCTCCTTCATCCATTGCCTCATGCTTTAAAAGAAAAGTGTCAAATAGTCCTTAAAAGCATTTTGAGAAGTTCATCATTTGCAAATTCTATTTTCTACTTCTAGCCCAGAGCCTGACACCCAGTAGGTGCTCAGTACACAATTTAAAAATATTTTGTTGTTGTTTTACGTTTATGACTTATTTTATAAGGAGAAATTTGTACCTTTTAACTTGACCCATTTCACCCACCCCCTGTGGCAAGCACCAGTTCGTTCCCTTTCTCTGTCTTACTTAGATTAATGTCCTCAAGGTCCATCCATGTTGTTGCAAATAGCAAGACTTTCTTCTTTTTTACGGTTGAATAATATTCCTGTGTATGTGCGCACATTGTATTGATCCATTCATTCGGCGATGGACACTTAGGTTGTTTCCATATCTGGGCTGTTATAAATAATGCTGCTATGAACGTGGGAGTAAAATTGGATAAATTCCCAGAAGTGGGATTGCTGGATAATATGGTGGTTCTATTTTTAATTTTTTGAGGATCCTCCGTGCTGTTTTCCACAGTGGCTGCACCAGTTTACATTCCCACCAGCAGTGCGTGAGGGTTCCCATTTGTCCACGCCCTCGCCAACACTTGTCATTTCTTGTCTTTTTGATGATGGCCATTCTGATAGGTATGGAGTGAAATCTCATTGTGGTTTTGATTTGCATTTCCCTGATGACTAGTGATGTTGAGCATCTTTTTGTGGGTCTCTCGGCCATGCGTGTGTCCTTTTTTGGACAAATATCTATTCAGATTCTCTGCCTGTTTTTAAATCAGATTGTTCGTGTTCTGCTATTGGGTTGTATGAGCCCTTTGCATATTTTGGACAGTAACTCCGGATTGTTACTGGACCGAACTGGGTCCAAATGCTTGGTAGTTCCAGCCAAAAGACAACTCTGAAATGATTTTGTGAGAAGGAACTTGATTGCAAGCCAGCAAACTAGGGCACCCTGAGGCTCATTCTCAGAGCAGCGTACCCCCTACAGTGTGCAATCCATCTTTATCACGGAGAATGGCGTATCAACATTGAGGTAGGCCCCGTCGTGGCATGTGTAGGTGGGGGCATTCCAGCACACGCACGTGGTCGGGAAACATGGCTCTGCATACATTCACGTTCAAAAACTCATGTTATAATGAGGGCATAAAAAGGAAAGTTTGTGAGGTCACTAGAGGGTCCTTCAGGCTGCTCCAGCCCTTCCCAGGCGGTTTCATCTGGTTCAGCTCCCTGGTCCTGCAGAACACCCTGGGCTGGTTCCTGAAAAACAGTTCTAGCAACCATCATCATCAGGGTTTGCAGAGGTATGGACAAACATCTAAGTCTTGGTCTTCCTGTGAAACTTTCAGCAACTTGCAAGAGAGCATTACAGAAACCTTATAAGTTTTAGAACGATTTAGTGAGGTTATGGGTGAATTGAGACAAAGTTATAAACTCTAAACAAAGGCTAATCTGTGCTAGGTTACCTGCTAGTCTCCATGTGTAGTGTAGGTTACGTTATCAGATACGTGGTTTGCAATTAATTTCTTTATTCACTGGGCTGCCTTTTCTTTTCGTCACCGGTTGCCTTTGCTGTGCAGAAGCTTTCTAGTTTGTTGTAGTCCCACTTGTTTTTACTTTTGTGGCCTTTGCTTTTGGCGTCAAATTCAAAAATTCATCGCCCAGACTGATGTCCAGGATACACGGTTGTTGAAGTTAAATTTCAAAGAATACTGGTAAGAATCCTGTACGTGTGGCATTCTAAGAACCTTCTGTGTTCCCAGAGTGTGTGGTATCTTGGGCCGTGCCAAGACTCCTCGTACCCCCGCCACCAACATTCTCCCTCGTGATGGTATCAGTCACTTCTGTCACGCTGGTGTCAAACCTTTAAAAGTTAAA